AAAAATTCATTAATTCTTGTAAGAAAAAGCACAATATATTATATATATATATATTTAATAACCAAGTAACAATTCTGAATTACCTGCAGGTATTTCAGGAAATGAGAATGATGGTGCAGGAATACGAGCTTGATAAGTTAGAACAACTTGTTCTTTCATAGTTGGATCATTTTCATCTATTGATCTTAAAATCAATAATACTGCAACAGATCCTCCTCGCTTTATAAATATATATATAAACATATATATTAATAATAATAATGGTAATGATAATAGTTGCTATTACTAATAATATTTCCATTTTTTTTCTTGATTAACAAAATACCAACCATAAATACTATCGCAGGCTTATTTATGCCACTTTTAACATGTTTTTTATTGACCTTGAATTTAACAAAACCTATATTTTTTCCAAAGTAATCAACATTTTGAATTTCAATTTCATTAATTTCTAATTCTCGTTTTTCTGTCGCAAGAATTTCTTTAGATAAAGCATCAGCCCAGTCTTTAAATGGTTGAAATTCAAGAACTGGGTTGATATTAATTGTTTGATCTTTTGTACTAACAGGAATTGAACGTCCTGCAATTTTAAGAGACATGATGTTTCTTATAATAGTGTTAGTTGCTACTAATTTAATAGTTGGTGTGGTATTTTTAAAATTAGTATTAGTCTTTCTAATAAAATTGTTAAAAATGTTAAAAATGCTTTTTACCATTATCATCGCATGTACTATTATTAATTATATTTCTTCGTTGAGTTAAAACTATTTTCACGTGATATTTTCCATTTGTATATGGTGCAAGTCACCTAGTCCCGCAACTTGCTGCGCCTCGTAGCCAATTTTGGGAAAATCACCAAAACTCAGAATTTGTAAGTTATGCTCAAAAATGCAATAAAATTTTATATCACGTGACCTTTAATGGTGATACAAATTAAAAAAAATATTTATATATTAATATATAACATTGCTAAAAAAAATTTCCTTCTTCATGTGAAGAAGCCAATGCTCCTGCGGAGAGCATTCTTTGAGAGCTT